AGTTTTCTTTCTAGTACCTTGTGTATGGCTGGACTTGTGGATAGATATTGGTTAAATTTGACTTTATCATGAAGTATCTTGTTTTCTTCATTTATGGTGATTGAAAAGTTTTGCTGAGTATAGTAGTCTGAACTGGCATCTATGGTTTCTTAGTCTGCAAGACATCTGTCCAGGCTTCTGATTTTAGAGGGTAGAGTTGTGGTAGGGGTATACCAATGGAGGAGATACAGTGGGGCAGGATGGGATGGGTCTTTAAGAACTGAATTTAGGAAGTGGGGCGGTTCAGCTGGCAGGTGAGCCATTCACCTGTTCTTCTGGTAGGTATGGCCTGGACCTGAGCAGCAGGAGTCTGCCAGAGTTGTGTGTGTGTGTGTGTGTGTGTGTGTGTAAGAGAGAGAGAGAGAGAGAGGGAGAGGGAGAGAGAGAGAGAGAGAGAGAGAGAGAGAGAGAGTAAAAGCTGCCTCTTCTCTTTTGCCATGATTCTTTCACAGTGACAGGAACATTTTATGAGGAAGGAGGCTGTCACCAGACCCGGAATCATCTAGAACTTTGGTCTTCCATTTTCTGGCCTTGAAAACGGTGACAAAAAGAAGTCACTCACTTTATGATAGCTCACTGTTTAAAAAAAAATACTTTAGAAGAAACAAGATAAGACAGAAAAAAAAGCATCTTCCATTCAGCAGACTTTTGTAGTTACTGGTTTTGGTTTTAGTTTGTTTGCAGAGCTTCATAGTGCCTCAATAATTACAGAAAATTGCTATCTCAGAGAAAAATATCAAGAGGAATCATTTAATTATTCTAATGATCTTAAATATCATAAAATGTGAACTTTAAAAAGTTTATAGGCAATTGGTTTACAAGAGAATTAGCTAGAGTAAGATAAAATTATATATTATGTAGAATAAATTGCAATGACCAGGTACTAAAGATGATAAAAGTAGAACACTAATGAAATTTTGTGACCATGTACCAGAAATTATTATTTGTCTTAATATAGCATAATATATGAACAGTAATAAGTAGAATTTTTATCTTATTTTATCTCAGTGAAAGCAGATGTTGAGCTTGGCAGAGAACTCAGTAAACCACATGCCTTGTAAATATGAGGACCTGAGTTTGGATTCCCAAACCACATGGAAAGCTGAGAGAGGTGACATCCACCTTTAATCTCAGCAGTGGTGAGACATGAGGCAGAGACAGGTGGTCACTGGAAGTTCATGGGCCAGTTAGTCTGGGTGATTCAGTGAAGTTCCAGGTCGATTAGAGGCTCTCAAAGTTGCCCTCTGTCCTCCGCATGCCTGTCGTGCATGTACACACCCACACTTACACTTGCATATACACAAACATGTGAGTGCGCACACACATCACAAAAACAGAGAGATGTCTTAGGTTTGCTTTTAGAAAAAAATTTTAAAGAGTTATTTTATTTATAATTGTGTGCATATGTACAGTTTTACGTGTGAATTTTTGCACATAACTGCTGAGGCCTGAAAAGGGTGTCAGGTGCCCTGGATCTGGAGTTGCAGGTGGTTGTGAGCTGTCTGACTTAGCTGTTGTACTGAAATCACGTCCTCTGCAAGAATAATACATACTTTAACTGCTGGACCATCTCCTAGCTCCTAGAAATAATTTTTTAATAAAACTATTTTTATTAGTTTATATTTAATAAAACTATTTTTAACAGTTTGCCATTATAACAAAACCTGGTTTTTCACCCAATATATCAAAACATCAAATAATATTTCTGAATTTAGTGTCTCTTTTAATCATAAGCACATAGTAGTGGGTTTTTTTTTTTTTCTCTCTATATGGATGTCTTAATCACTGTCCTATTGCTGTGACCAGACACCATGACCAATGCAACTCTTAGAAAGCATTTAATTAGGGTCTTTTTGCTTATAGTTTCAGAGGTTTAGTTAATTACCACCATGGCAGGAAACATGGTGGCAGGCATGTTAGGTATGGTGGTTAGAATAGAAATGGCCCCCATAGACTCAAGTGTTTGACTGTTTGGCCCTCAGGGAGTGGCACTATTAGGAGGTGTGCCCTTATTGGAGTGGGTGTGGCCTTGTTGGAGGAAGTGTGTCACTGTGGGGGCAGGCTTTGGGGTCTCCTATGCTCCAGTTACACCCCGTATGGCACACTGTGTCCTTCTCACACACAGTATGGCTCTCAGCTGCTTCTCCAGTACCATGTTTGATTTCATACTGCCATGCTTCTTGCCATGGGCTAAACCTCTGAAACTGTAAGCCACTCCCAATTAAATGTTTTCCTTTGTAAAAATTGCTGTGATCATAGTATCGCTTCACAGTAATAGAAAGACTATCATACAGCTGGCATGGCGTTAGAGAAGTATCTGAGAGCTACACTCTGATCCACAGACTGAAAGGGGGAGAGGGCACTGGCATGGGTTTTTAAGACCTCAATGTCCACCCCAAGTGACACACTTCCTCCAACAGGGCCACACCTCCTAATCCTTCTAATCCCATAAAAGGGCTCCACTCCCTGATCTCTAACCATTCAAATACAGAGTTTATGGGGGCCATTCTTATTCAAACCACCACAATGGAGAACTGACCAATAGAGTTCACAACATGGAGATGAAGACTCCACGTCCTTCCCTATTGGAGGAGAGTAAAACCAGAAAGTCAAGTAAGGGAGTCAGGTATGGTGATACACCTGTGAACCCCAGCACTGGAGGGGCAGAAGCAGAAAGATTACAAGTTCTGGACCAGCCTGGGCTATATATCAAGGTCATGTCTCAAAAGGAGGGAGGATATGTAAAGGTAGAGGATACCATACTAATTTTTCAATGCTCTTATTGCTCTTCTTTAAGGTAGGTTCTCACTCTATAGCCCAGTGAGCAGTTCCTGCAGTTCAGCTCGCAAGCTAACATCATAACCAGTGCAGCGCCCCCACCCGCCCCCTCACACACTCGTATTTATCCTGTTACCACTTGCTACAGCTGTTTTTACACTAGAAAAACAGCATCTCTTAGATAACTAGCCCCAAAGGTCATTGGAGGCTTGGGAGGAGTTCACAAAGAAAGTGGCAGATTTTTTTTTTTTAATTTCTATTTTGAAATATCCAAGATTCAACCACACAATAGGACATCCCCCCAATAGCATTCGTGCTAGAGACTGCTCTCTTCTTGGTCTGAACTCAGCTGTCTGTTGTGAGATGACTGTAGTTGTGAGTGGGGGATCTTTAGGTAGAACCAAAGTCAGCCCCAATTCCTTCAGCTGTTTCTCATGTGAAATTACTTCCTGTAGTTCCAGAAATGAACCTGCACACCCAACAAGTAGTAAGTGTGTCTTTATGACTGCTCAGTGCCTGCTCTTTTTCGGGCATAGGAATTCCCATCAGGAATCTACCCCCCCCCCAAAAAAAAACTTATACTGAAATTTTTTAATTGTGCTTATAGAACCTAATATAATGGAAATGTTATGTAAACGTGATATTGAGTAGTGACAAGAAAAATGTGCACATTCAGTGAGATGTAGTTATCTCCCCTATTCTCCCCAAAATCTATGGTCACCCCCTTTCCCTGCTGTATACTTCCTCCATCAGAGTCCCCTTTTGTATCTTCTGTGTTCTACTGTCCTCCACAGCCCAGCTCTTAAAGCCTGTCTTTCTCATCTCACAGGCACTAGCCTCCTGCCTTCTCTTACCCTCCCACTTAGATACATAGATTTAACTGTTAGAATAAGAAAGAGCATGTTATGTTTGTCTTTTTGTGTCTGTTACCTCATATAATACTATTCTCTAGTTCTATCCATTTCCTCGAATTTTTCCTTTACCTTTGAATGAGTTCCATTGTGTACATACACTACATTTCATTAGCCATTCATCAGTTGATGGACATCTAGACTGATTCCATTTCCCTGCTATTGTAAATAGAGCATCAGTTAACATGGATGTGTACGTATCTCTACAGTAGAACACCGAGTTCTTGTGGGGTGTGCACAGGAGTGATATGCTGGGTCATCTTGCTGATGTCCTATTGTTGATTTTTGAGAAATGCTTACCCAAATTTCCGTAGTGGTTGTACGTCTTACACTGCCACCAGCATTCGGTTAGTATTCCTCTTTCCCCACATACTCACCAGCATTTTTTATCATTGGTTTTCTTGATGCCAGCCTTCTGAACTGAGAGAGATGGGTCCTCAAAGTAATTATAATTTGCATTTCTCTAATGGATAAGGATATTGAACACTCCTCAAAACATTTATTGGCCATTTATACTACTTTTGAGAAGTATCTGTTGAGTTCACTTGCACATTTATTGAGAAGCAAGGTACTGGTTTTATTGTTTGATTTCTGAAGTATTTTAAAACATTCCAGATACCCACCCTTCATCTGGAATGTAGACAACAGATCATCTCCTGATCTCTAGACTATTCACACTATTGACATTTCTGTTGCTGTGCAAAAGCTCTTTGATTTAATGTGATCCCATTTAATTCTTGGGGCTAGGTTCTGTACTTTGGAGGATCTATTCAGATCTTATCCCTCTACCTATATCCCAGAGCATTTTCCCTCAGCAGTTTCAGCATTTCTGGATTTAATTTGGGGTCTTCCATCCATTAGAAACTGATTTGTGTACAGGGTGTGTGCTGTGCAATAATTTCCTCTGAATCAAACATTCCTGCCTTGAAAGGATAAGTGAAACTCATGAGACTCCAAGAACAACCAGCTCACAAGTCTCAGGACGCTCTTAAACTTTCATCAAGATCCGCAAGACCCACCCCACCCCAACCCCAGACTCATAGAGACAGTAAATCACTACTGAGGAGGCAGACTCTGACCTGCGGAACTACATGCAAGCCATGTAGGGAAGTCCAGGCATGTGGGTTTAAAGTCATCTGTAGTGAGATAGTCCTTCTGTGACACTGACCACGCCCATGGGGGGTGGAGCCATGGGCGGAAGTGACCTGTGGAAGGAGTTCGGAGAGAGAGCCTGGAAAAGTTCTCTTGCTGGCGTGACTCGGACAGGAGAACATCGGGTTGAATTTTCTGGAGAGCATCGGGTTGAATTTTCTGGTGTTCATCTGTCTAAGTTGTAAGTTATTTCTCCCTGAATAAACAGCTATTCGGCCTATTTGTTTATCCTGACCCAGCTCTTCCTTGGCCCTGACCAGTACTGCTTGAGCTGGCCCCACCAAGTCCATGGAGGTGAGGAAGTACATGGAAGGCCCGTAGCAGTGCTTCAGGATAAGGAAACCTCACGGCTGAGGAACATGTAAATCTTCATGTATTGGAGCTTGCAAATATTTTACCTTAGCTGCTAACTAATATCAACTTATGATTTAAATGAACTATTGTGGAGTTTTGGAGAACCTGTTCACTGTTTGTTAAGAGGTATTATTACGTGAATTTGGGACTTTATTGTTGTTGTTGTTTTTTAATACTAACTTCTGAGAACTGACAAAATTAGAGAAACCTCTAAAAACCATCCGTAAAAACGACAGTTGTTTTGCCTTGATTATTTTAAAGGTATCCCACATGGGTTGGGAAAGGGGCTCCCAAAAGCTATAAGGTTGTTCAATGAAAAGCTCAGAACCAGTGGTGGGTTACCTCTAGGAGTTATTGGCCAGGGAGACTCTAGAGGCCTATAATAACTGTGTCCTAGTTAGGGTTTTTATTGCAGTGATGCAACACCACATCCGAAGGTAAATTGGGGAGAAGAGGGCTTATTTAGCTTACACTTCCACATTGCAGTGCATCACTGAAGGAAATCAAAGACAGTAACTCTAACAGGGCAGGAACCTGGAGGCAAGAGCTGAAGCAGAGGCCATGGAGATATGCTCTAGCCTCCTCCTTATGATTTGCTCAGCCTGTTTTTTAAAAAGCCTGGGACCATCAGCCCAGGGGTGGTCCCACACACAAAGGCTTCACACACACACACACACACACACACACACACACACACACACACACAGACACATACATGGTGGGATGCCATGCTCAGTCTTAATGCATGGGAGAGGGATCTGTCCCTGCCCCAACCTATTGTGCCATACTATGTTAACTCCTCATGGAAGCCCTTGTGAGGAGGAATGAGCTGGGGGAGGGCTGAGGAGAGGCAAAAGGGAGGCAGGGGGAGGTGTGTGAAGGAGAACTGTGATTGGAATGTAAAATGAAATTAAAAAATAAAAACAAAAAGAGTTGCCATGGTCATGGTGTCTCTTCACAGCAATAGGAACCCTAAGTTTAATCCCCTAGATCTATGTGTCTGTTCTTGTGCCAGTACCATTCTGCAGTTTTTTACTACTATGGCTCTGCAGTATAACTTGGAATCAGGTCGGGTGAGACCCATGACATTCTTCCTCTAAAAATAGTATTTTTAATTTTTAAAAATGTACGTAATATAGTATGATCATATCCACCCACCCCATCTCCCCCTTCCAACTCTCCCTGAACCTGCTGCTCCCAAAACCCTAACACATTGTCCTAACTATGAACTCCATGTACATATATGTATATACGTGTGTGCATATACATGTACACATATAGATAGATACAGATGATAGAGATGCCCACTGAATTCAATTAGTGCTGCTCAAATAAGCACAAATGTGGGATCAGATATGCATGAGCATGGGGCCATCCACTAGAATGCAGACAACTTATCAGTGACCACACCTTGTAGCTGTGCCTCCTGCCGCACAGCTTGTTGGCGGCTCCTCAGCTAGGGGGGAGGGCTCAAGAGCCCTCCCCCTCCCCCTCTCCATCATGGTTCCTTTTATCCAGAAGTGCTTTGCCTACCCAGAGTCTTTTGTGCTTCCATATGAATTTTAAGATTCCTTTTCTATGTCTGTGGAAAAATGATGTGAGAATTTTGATGGGTGTCACACTGAAAGTCTGTTGATTAGTTTGAGGGAAATGGCCATTTTCACAATATTAATGCTTCCAGTTTATGAACATGAGAGGTTTTGCCAACTTAGTGTCTTTCTCAGTTTCTTCAGTGTATTGCAGCCTTTAATACATGCTCTTTGTTATGTATTTTTAGTATTTTTACAATGGTATAACACGGAGGAGGCTTTTCTTTTTCCAGTCACCCCATTTGGTGTTCTGTGTACTTTTTTCCATAGATTAACCTCTGTTTCCCTTAATTTAGAAGTAATTTTACTATGATTATGTAGGAAATATTTTCTACACTTTGGCATGGAATTCAACTTCTTCTAAGCCATAATTCATAAATATGGTCTTTCTATGATGCCCTAAGGGTATCCCACATTCCACACTTTTATTTTGTTAAACCAATCATCTCTGACTTAATTATCTCGATCTCTTCCTACGCCTCCAATCCCTGTGTTACTCTCCCTCCCCCATGCTTGATAGTTGGTGAGGTTTTCCACTGCATTATTTATTTCATTTAAGCTTTTTCATTTCTAGAATCACTTCAGTTTGGTTTTTCTGTCTCTTTATAAAATTCCAATTTCTACTCTGACCGTAGCTTCCTTATTTCATTAAGCTGCTTGTTTGGGTGCACTTTCATTTCTTTAAATAGGTTTTAATTTCTTTAGTTATTCTACTAAAAGCTCTTTCTAAATCACTTTGATCAGAAGTCATTACTCTGAGATGTGTAGTTTAAGGAAGAAATGGACGGGTTTTCCCCCTTATTTTTATTTTATAGGTATGATAGTTTTGCATGTGTGTCTGTGCATCACATGTGTGCCATGCCTTCAGAGGCCAAAAGATAGTGTTTGAGCCCCTGAAATAGGAGTTACAGACAGTTGTAGGTGCTGGGAATCAAACACAGCTCCTCTGGAAGAGCAGAGAGCACTAACCACTGAGTCATCTCTCCAACACAAGACAAGTTTTCTTGATTTTTTTTTTTTTAATGTTATTTGTGGTTTTGCACTGGAGTTTGCAGCTTAGGTGTCCTAGTTAATTCCTCTGAGGTCACTTTTCTTGCTTCAGTGAGTGAGCGCAGTGTTCCGATGGATCAGATTGTAGTAAAGTTGTCCTTTCCCTCTGTGCTTAGAGCACTAAGCTGTCTCTCTAAGCCTACTCTAAGAGCAGGACACCATCTGCAACAATAGTCACTAGCAGGAACAGGCCCAGTTATTGCTGGATACTACCTGGCGTCTCTCATGTTCCTTCCTTGGCTCCTGCCTTGCTGCTTGGAGTTCCTCTGGGACTAAGCATGTCCTGTGCTCTCCAGTGTTGAGCACCTGTCTGGACCGGCTCTGGACTTGAATTTGGTTTACACTCTGGTTCTGGTTCTGGTTCTGGTTCTGGCTCCTACTCTGGATCTTATTTGGCTCTGGCTGACTTTAGATCTAGCTTTGGCTCTAACTCTGGCCTTCCATTAGGAACAGTGTGTCTGCCTTTTGGAATGCGCTTGACACACTGACCATTCAGACTGGGCCTTGGTGTTGTCTCACTAAGTGCTGCAGGTGGTTCAGTTGTAGAGACAACTGATGCAGACTCAGGAGTCAGGGAATTAACTTACCTAGGTGACAGTGGACCAGTGACAGGGATACAGTGCTTATGGATGGCTTATTTTTATGATTTAGAATATAGTTAACCCTTTGGCTGATAATGCTAATCATTCCGCATATTTGTCTCAGCTAAATTGTCAATTCCTTTCAGAAATCTCCAACCCACCCTAACCTGGAGTAGATGCCTCCACTGTCAGAGATCCTTGTATTTCTTCCTGCTGCAACACATATCACTGTTTATTGAAATTTACTATGTAATTATCAGTGCCTCAAAAAAATGATATAAACTTCACAAGAGGAAGGCAGTCAATTACTTTATTGATGTTGATATTATTAACATCTGTAATATGTCTGGCTCATAGTGGGTACTTAATAAATGTTTGTTGAATAATTAATTAACAATGAATAGGCACTGTAGTTAGGTAGTGGGAAATACTAGTTAAGTAGAGTGTAAACAAATTCTCCTTAATCAGCACCCACTTCCTCTCTCAAGCTTCCGGAAATGTCACAAGTGTAAAAGAGAGTCTCCTCCCCCAGAAGACTACAGCCTGCCCAGAGATGGCTCACCACCACTTGTGGATCTGGTTCCTTTGCCTGCAAACCTGTAAGTTCTGAACCTTGTTAGAATTTAAAAATTTTAAAAACTATGTTTGGGAAGGCATCGGCTTGACCCTTTGATCTATTTTCAACAGACTGTCCTGACTTCTATTTCTATTATACTCAGAACACTGAACTACAGGAAGACCTTAAGATCCAAACTATGTCCTTAATTTCATTCAAGCAATAAACCAATCAATCACCTTCTGCTTGATAGTTCAGTTCCAAACTATGCCTTCAATTCCTGTTACTCTCTCCTCCTCCCCCCCATGGTCGTTTTGTTGGTGAGGCTTTCCACTACTTATTTGACTAAAGTTTTTCATTTCCAGCACCACTCTGTTTGATTTCTCTCTTGTATCTCCATCTCTTTATTTAATCCTCTCAGCTTTGCTGGTCTTGTCTCCATAATATGCCTGGGACATAGTAGGCACTTCACAAATGTTTTGTTGGGTAGTTAATTAGTTAATTAATGCTAGGCATTGGAGTCATGTAATGGAAAACACTAGCAAGTAGGATAAGAATACTTTTTTATTTTCTTTCCCTCCCCATTTATTAAAAGTAGATATTTTGCTAATACACTATGTCCTGGCTATAGTTAACCCTCTCTAAATTCCTTCCAGTTCCTCTCCACCTCCCCTCCTCTCTAGAACCACTTTCTGTCTCACATTAGACAAGAACAGGCTTCTGAAGATAACAAACAACCATGACAAAATAAAATGTAGTAGGATGAAACAAAAGCCACCACTCTGAGGCTGGACAGTGTAATCCACAGAAGGAAAAGAGCCCAACAGCAGACACAAGAACCAGACCACTCATTCACACACACAGGAGCGGAAAGCTATAACATATACAGAAAACCGGGTGCAGCCCCATACGGGCCCTGTGCCTGCTGCTTCAGTCTCTGTGAGATCATAGGAGCCTTGCTGAGTTGACTCAGAAACTCTTGATCTCCTGGTGTCCTCCAACACCTCTGGCGATGGAGACATCCCATTTAAAGCCATGTGTATTCCAAGGACTCTCTCTCTCTGCATAGTCTGGCTGTGGGTCTCTGTTCCCATCTACTGCAGGAGGAAGTTTCTCTGATGATGGCTGGAAAAGACATTGATCTATGAGGATAGCAGAATATCAGTAGGAGTCATTTTGTTGTTACTTTTTAAGACAAGTAGTGTTTGGTTTTATCCTAGGTCTCTGGGCTATCTAGTCTCTGTGTCACACAAGCAGTGTCCAGTATGGGTTCCATCTCATGGAATGTGCTTTAAGCCAAATCAGACATTGGCTAGTTACTCCCTTGTGTCACCATTGCCCTGGCCTATCTTTCATGCATGACAGATTATAGGTCAAAGGTTTTGTGTATGTGTTAGTGTTTGCTTTCTCTTTTGGTAGCCTTCAGAGTACCTTCCCATACCAGACACACTAGAATATAGGGATACAGACTCCACGTAGGCACCAGGTGCACGTCTCAATGTTCATTGAGGTGTATTGGTATTATCCTCCAACATGGGGCCCCACTTGTCTTAGCAACAGCCTGGGTCATTTGGGGATTTCATGAGACACCCTTGTCCAACAACTCAACTAAATAAAACCTAGTCCTGGTACTGGAGGCCTCATTTGGTGACAAGACATGGCCAGTTGGGACTCCATCTCCCCAATTATTAGGAGACCTCGTTAGCTGTGCCTTGATATAATTTAGAAAGTTTCCACTGCACTAGGCTCCCATGCCATCCCTCAAATGTCCCTCCCTTCCAACTGTCTCTCCCACATTCCCTTCCTCAACCCTGTCTCCTCTTCCTGATCCTCTCCTCCTGTTTCTGTCCCAACTTGCCCCACCGCACATAAAATCTACTCCATTTTCCCCTCCTGGAAAGATTCATGTGCCCCCCCCCTTACCTTCCTCTATACTTAGCCTCTCTGGGTCTATGAATTGTAGATTGGTAATAATTTATTTAATGGCTAATATCCACATATAAGTGAATGCATACCGTATTTATCTTTCTGGATCTGGGTTACCTTATTCAGAATGATTTTTTCCTAGCTCCATCCATTTGTCTACCAATTTTATGATGTAAATTCTTTTTTTAAGCTGAGAAATATCCCATTGTGAAAATGTACCACAGTTTCTTTATTCGTTATTCTGTTAGGAACATCTAGGTGGTTTTGGGCTATTAGGAACAGAACAGCAATGAACATGGTTGAGCAAGTGTCCCTGCAGTAGTATGAAGTACCTCTTGGGTATATGACCAGGAGTGGTATAAACAGATCTTGAGGTAGATAGATTCCCGACTTTATGAGGAACTGCCATATTCGTTTCCATAATGGCTGTACAAGTTTGCACTCCCATCAGCAATGGATGAGTGTTCCCCTTATTCCATATCCTCTTCAACATGAGTTGTCACTTAAGTTATTGATCTTAGCCATTCTGACAGGTATAAGATGGAATCTCAAAGTAGTTTTGAACTGCTTTTCCCCGATGACTAAAGATGTTGAACAATTCTTTAAGTATTTCTCAGTTATTTGAGTTTCCTCTATTGAAAATTCTCTGTTTAAATCTGTACCCCATTTTTAAACTGGATTTTTTTGATATCTGGTTTCTTGAGTTCTTCGTATATTGTAGATATTAGTTCTCTATCAGATGGTGAGTTGCTAAATATCTTTTCTCATTCTGTAGGCTGCTACTTTGTTTGAATGACAGTGACCTTTGCCTTACTGAAACTTTTCAGTTTCTTGAAGTCCTGTTTATTAATTGTTGATCTTAGTGCCTATGTTGTCCATGTTCCATTCAAGAAGTCTTCTCCTGTGCTGATGAGTACAAGGCTATCCCCTGCTTTCTCTTCTATCAGTTCAGTGTATCTGACTTTTATGTTGAGGTCTTTGATCCACTTGGACTTGAATTTTGTGCAGGGTGATGTTTGGATCTATTTGCATTCTTCTACATGGAGACATCTAGTTAGACCAATGCCACTTGTTGAAGATGCTTTCCTTTTCCCATTGTATAATTTTGTCTTCTTTATCAAAAATCATGTGTCCATATGTCTGTAGATTTATGCCTGGGTCTTCAATTAAATTCCATTGGTCAACATGTCTTTTTTCTATGCCAATACCATGCTGTTTCTATTACTGTAGCTTTGTAATATTACTTGAGATTGGTAATAAATGAGACCCCCCCCAAAGTTCTTTTATTTTTCAGGATTGTTTTAATTATACTGTTTTGTTTTGTTTTGTGTTTTCCATATGAAGTTAACAATTGTCCTTTCAAGATCTGTGAAGAATTGAGTTGGAATTTTAATGGAGATTGCATTGTCTGTAGATTGCTCTTTGTAGGATGGCCATTTTACTATATTAATCCTTGAGCGTGGGAGATTGTTTCTTCTAATATCTTTATCTATTTCTTTTTATTTTACAGTTTTTATCATACAAGACTTTCACTTGCTTGTTTACAATTAACCCAAGAAGGTATTTTATATTATTTGAGGCTATAGTGAAGGTTTTCCCACGATTTCTATAGGAGAGCTACTAAAGTCTGTGAGTTAATTCTGTAACTAGCTTCTTTGCTGAAAGTGTTGATTAGTTGTAGGAGTTCCTGGTGGAATTTCTAGGGTCACTTCTGTACACTATCATACCATCTGAAAATAAAGATACTTTGATTTCTTCCTTTCCGAACTGTATATCACTGACTTCCTTCAGTTGTCTTATTGCTCAGGTGTGGAGAAAATGGACAAGCTTGTCTCGTTCCTGATTTTAGTTGAAATTCTCTCCATTTAATTTGATATTGCCTATGAGCTTGCTGTAATAAAAACCACTTTTATTATGTTTAGATATGTCCCTTTCATCTTTACTCTCTCTAGGATTCTTATCATGAAGGTGTTGGATTTTGCCAAAGACTTATTCTGCATCTAATGGGATGATCATGTGGGTTTTTTCTTTCTTTCAGTTTATTTATGGTGGATTACATTTATTGGTTTTTATATATTGAACCATCCTAGTATTTCTGGGATGAAGCCTACTTGATCATGGTGGATGATCTTTTCAATGTGTTGTTGGATTCAGTTTGCAAGTATTTGAGTATTTTTGTATCTATGTTCATTAGGGGAATTGATCTGTAATTTTCTTTCTGGGGGGGGGGCTTTGTGTGGTTTTGGTATCAGGGTTACTGTGCCCTTATAACATGAATTGGGCAATGTTCCTTCTGTTTCTATTTTGTGAAATATTTTGAGGAGTGTTGGAATTAAGACTTCTTTGAAAGTCTGGTATGTTTCTAGCCCTAGGCTTTTTTTAGTTGGGAGAGTTTTAATAACTGCTTCTATTTCATTGGGAGTTACAGATCTGTTTAAATTGCTTATCTGATCTTGGCTTAACTTTGGTAAGCGTATCTACTGAGAAAATTACCCCTTTCTATTCTATTTTCCAATTTAATGAAGTATAAGTTTTTTAGGAATATACTTTTGGTTCTCTGTATTTCCTAGGTGTCTATTGTTATACTTCCCCCTTTCATTTCTGATTTTGTCAATTTGGATATTCTAGCTCTGCCTTTTAGTTTAAACAAATGCTTGTCTATCTTGTTGATTTTCTCAAAGAACCAACTCTTTGTTTGATTGATTTTTCTTTTGTATTGTTCTCTTTGTTTCTGTTTTATTGATTATTTCTTGCTGTCTACGTCTCTGGTTGTGATTATGTCTTTTGTTCTAGCACTTTCTGGTGTGCTGTTAAGTTGCTAGTATGAACTCTTGCCAGGTGTTTGTTTTTAATTTAGGCCTCTTAGAGCCTAAATTCTTTGTGTACCTTAAGTTTGAGCATGCTATGTATTCATTTTCATTGAAATCCAGACAGTCTTAATGTCTGTCTTGGTCTATTTTTCATTCAGTAGAGAGTTGTTCAGTTTCCATAAGCTTTCTGTTGCTTCTGTTTTTGGTTTTGTTTTCTTTTGATATTCTGGTTTAATCTGTGATGATCTGATAGAATTTGGGAAATTGTTTCAATTTTCTTTTCATATATATGTATGTGTGTGTGTGT